TCAACATTTCAAAGTTCACATTACATGAGCATGTGCACAGGAATTTGCATGTGCAGATTCCCAACAGTGATATTTAATCACTGTAATTAAATACGACATCAAGCAGGCCCAGTTCCAATGAATCTGGCCCAGCCACGGAGCCTCACACCGCGGTTTTTTATGTTTGCTGAGCTGTACTGATCATAGTCTGACTACATTAATGCTCTCCATAAAACAACGAGCTCCTGAGCAGACTGGCTGTTTATACTGGAAAGGTCTGCACTGTAAAAACATAAGCTATACCTTAAATGAAACATTTACTTATTCTTAAAATAGTAGTCCTGTTTTCCCATATGAAAGGTATATTAAGGAAGTACAGTACCTGTTTGGAGGTGGTTTTGGTTTAGGCATTTTACTAAGAATAGTAGCCATCTCTTTCCTCTCATCAAAGTTCTTCCACTGCTCATACAGCTTCAGAATAACCCTGATTATTTCTAAAATCTGATTAGAAAGAAAAGAGATCCTAAGGTCAGACCCAATACTGATTTTATCTTTGTCATAGTTAGTTTAAGCATGTAACTAATTAAACATGCACCAAACAGAAATTACGCAGCATGATTTTCATGTTATAAACAGAGCTGTCTCACATTTAATCTGGTCTGGCAATCAACCATTTCTACAATTAGTTTTTTTATTTAATTGTGAATGGACACCTGAACAGAATACTTTCCCTCCCATTCAACTGCATATACCACTTCTCCTCCCCTGCAAGCCAAACAGCTTTTTATTTATTTATAACTACTGCCACAGCTTAAAACTACGCTACTGGGACAGTACGGACACCTGGCAGCCTGACTGCAGCCAGATGACCATGGATAACTGACACAGTAGCTGATGATTATCAACGCTCTATACACATCAGAGGCACAGTGTAGGAAAAAAAAAAAGCCCAAAACCACACAACATTGGTCTGAATTCCTTCCTTCCAAGAAATAAAGAGCCAAGGAGTTTCTAAATACTTCTTATTCTTATTATATTCTTCTCATTTTTTTATTTTGTTCTTATGTATTCTTATATACATAGAGTAAGAACTGTTGAACGTTCATATTCCACTTCTGGAAGTGTAAGCATTCTCTACCAGTCTGGACACTTTCTATCTACTGCACCTCAACTACCTTCATTTCCTATTAAATTTCTAGTACAATATTCTATATAAAAGGTGGATGATGTTTGGTTCATAATTTGTTTCATCATTCTCTAAATTAATAGAGTAGACTTCTTTCTTCTTTTTAATGCATGGACTTTGATTAAGTACAAGCACAACATCCATCCTTGAAACAAAAGTCATAGTTGGCTAAGAGGTCCATGGTGTTAATGTAAAAAAAAAAAAAAAATTAAAAAAAATCAAGCTTAGATTGTATCACCGGCATGAGAACCAAGACACGTAAACCCTCAGACATGTTCAGTACCAAGCTTATGGTCAAGCTTATCTGTCAAATATGGGTTGGTTCTCCTCCGCTGCCAATTTATTATCACTCTGCTTTTACATGCATGACAGCATAATTCACAGAGCTCTTGCTGCGCAGAGCACAGCATTCACACTGTGCTTGAATGTGAAGACAAATCCTGGAATACAAATACAATGCCAGGATATCATCAGTGGGATAAAGGGTAATACTGAGGGCACAGAGGGCAATGGTACGTCTCATCCATAATATGCTATTTAATTCCAGACATTCAGTCTCAAAAAAGATGGACTAAAAAAATACATGCAGAGTCAAACAGTGTGGTAAGGAGTATAAGTACTAGTTTGACCTGCTTGCTGGAGCTTAACAAAGGTTAAAGAAGTCAACCTAAAAAGTAAAAAGAACTAGTGAAGATGAAGAACGTTATTGGTATGAGAAGAAATGCACCTTGGAACTTGATAAATATATAAAGGGGGTTATTTGACACGGAATTTGCAATAGCAGGGAACTCAACTGACTGATCTTGGTGTGCCCCTGTTTAACACTGACTGAAGTCACAGTCCTGGTCATCTGAAAGTGTCAAAAATGTTTTACACTCTGCTATACTACATGTATTTATAGAGAGAAAATGAGAACAGTATGTAGGCACGATGCTGAAAGGTGAATCAGAAAATCACATGCACTAGAATTTAAAAGTCAAACTCGTGCTGGTGATCTTGAATGATGAAAAAACACTGGGAATTCTTTTTCTGGCAAAAAATGCAAAGAATATTGGGTTTACATCTCTACCTGAAAAATGGCAATGCCAGCAACACTCTGCTGCTATGCAATGGTTCTGTCTTGACTTTCAGAGCAGGGTGATAACCGAACGACCTGACACTGTCTCCCTCTCCGAGAGCTCTACCCAATTTCAACAGCGCCTAACATATGATCACTGAATGAAGGTCAAATCCGTAATGCAGACATGCAAGACAGCAGTTTTATAACCACAACTGCCGTTTCTGGTCAGCCTGTAACAGGTGGCAGGAATTAAAACCAGCGTACCTTTTCCATATCGACTGATAGCTCAGCAAACCACTGCCTTGCATCCTTCTGCTGGACAACACAGGCCACGTGTAGGCAAGCTGCAAAGATCAGGTGATACTGAACAAAGATCCCCTCGTGATACAGTTAGAAATATTCTGATTTTTATAAACACTATACAGTTCAACAGAGAAAATTCGGAATTAATCATCTGATTTTTCTTCCAGGCTTTTTAAGCTGCAAGGTTACACTGCCAGTACTGTGTGAAACGCAAACCGAAGCACCTTGTGAGGGCACTCTAAGCAATGGCCGTTGATGGACAGCGCACAGAATACATCTGTTTAAACATGACAAGAGGCATTACTTGTGTTACTTACCTAGAGCTATCATGAAAGGAGGGTACAGCAGACAAAGATCAGTTCTATATGTGTCATTCACTATCCTCCTGTGCAAAAAAGAACTTGTAAGTATTATCCTATTCACCTTTAGACTGTATGACTTCAAAACCTGCTGTTGGCTTATAAGTATTTTGTCAGTTTTCCAGACAGGAGAAGCAGTGAGGCTGCAGGGCAAAACAGCAAGGGAAGAAATCTCTTCCCTAGTAAAAATCTCTTAAAAGCCTTTCATGTTTTTCCTTGTAGTCACAGCAGAAGTTTATTTGGAAGAGCTATTATAGTACCATAAACGTCCTTCTGCAGAGGGTGTTGACGCATACCACAAAATAATTATCCCTGTTTCAAAAATAAGTAAGGGCAAGCATAAAAGTAGTATTTTACTGTCTTTCTGTATTTGAGAAACAGTTCATGAATAAGGGTTCTGCTAACACAGCTAAAAAACCCTATATCCTGCTTCTGCCTCTACGACGAGATACAGCAGAAAGCCGAAGCTGATAGAAGATTACCTCTACTCATAGTCACCACTCAGTAGTACAAAAACTGTGCTATTAGAGCTGGTCTGAAAATAAAAATTTGACCACTGCAAAGTAAAATCATTACAGGGTTAAAGACAGAATAAGCTAAGTCAGGGATGTATACCTGCACAGGTTAACTAGGGCACCCTTTGTATTCAAATATGGCTAAGCCCACTTTTGCTTAACCACTTTGGAAGCATAACTGTTCAATACACACTTTCGTGCTGAAAGGAGGCACTCTTGTTAACCACAGCCGTCATTACCATGCAAGAGGTAGCAGCATATCTTCTTGACCCATATCTTGCACATATTGGAGCAAAGGTCTATAAGGATGATATACTATCAAACAGCAGTCCTAGGAAAAATGTCAACAGGATAAAAGTTAGATTACAATACAGAATATGTTGTCAGTTCGTATTAAAAACATTTGGTTTACAAGTCAATTACTGATTTATTTTTTTTTAAGTAGCATTCTGACACCTAACTCTGCTTTAATGAGGGCAGTGCTCTCTCTAGAATACCATTACATAGCATGGTTGCCAGTCTGTCAATGTCCTTCCCCCAAGAGACAGAGAAAGCCACATCTGCAGCACACTGAAACCTCATTTGCTTACAAACCCGTAATTCCCACTTGGAAATACAAAACACTGCCAGAAAACAGTCTGTCACTAAATACCATACATGGAAAGCATGCCAAAATAATTCACACTGGTTTGGAAGGAAAGGAACAAAAAAAATCCATCGCTCTCAAATCCCCTCTTTTCAGGCCCAGGTTGGTGTAAACAAGAAGGAATAAATAACCCTGTCGCTGAAAGCAGCCAGCTGTATGGATACTGTATGGAAAAGCTGCATTAAGTTTCATGTGCTGAATGCTGAAGTGACACACAGTTACTGTACATGCTATATTTTTCCAGCACGCTCTGCAATGTAAGTTAATCCCCAAAATGTAACTTCTTGTAAATGCAGTGACTTGTGATAAAACTCCCGTATAGAAAACTCAGGACTTACTGTGGTGTATAGCAGAGGTATCAAGAACTAAATCTAAACAGGGTATCTAAAAAGGGGTTATGGCAACTGTAGGCACAAACAAAAACTTTGACCCGACCTCCTCTGTGTCCTGTTCTCAAAAGATATCCTCTCAGCTGCTCCCTAACTCACCAGACTCCTCCCTGGCTTCTCTCTCCTTTTCTCTGCACTTGAACAGAACTACTCCAGTACAGCAGGCTCGGTGCCTAGCCCACCCAAGCCCAACCAACGTGCAGAAATTAGGCTCCACTTCACCTAAGCCCCCTAAGAAGCCTGGGCTGCATCCTTTCAGCTGCCCTAGAAAACGCAGCAACGGGATAGCAACCCCCACAAAAAGCAGGTACAGCTCCTTCCTTTGAAAGTGCCTGAAAGAAAATGTGATGTTGCGCTCCTTTCATCCAACAGCCTAAGACTTCCAGCACCGTCTCACAAAACGGGAGGCCCTGAATTCAGTTTCTTCCCCACAGGATTCAAACCAGCGTCTCACTTTTTAGATTACTCTAATTATCAGGTTACAGACTAGCCTGAGTGGGATACTACCCACACCTTCTGCTGAAGCTGGAACGTAACATGTATAGGTCCAGATTCTTCCAGGCAAGAAGAAGAGGGCACAGAAAGAATAACAACTCTTTATGCTCTTGCCTGGCCGTTCATCTGGGGAAATAACAACAGAGATCCTAGTCTCTGCAGTTACCTTGCTTTTTAAAACAGAAGCAGTTCTGGAAACAGAACTTCAGCTTCACCCCTCCCAACAGTGCTCTGACCACCAGGATGCAGAGCCGTACACCTCCTGTCCCCACCGCTCCCGCACTCTGCCCTCTTTCTGTCCAGCTTCAACACAAGGAGGTGAGAATGCCCCTACTCTGCCTAGATGACAGCACAGTAGTTACAGCATTCTGCTGAAAATGTGTTAGACCTGCATGGACATCATTCTAAAATCAGAGCGGTGAAAAAAAAAAAAAGACAGCATAATGCATACTTCATAGTACAAATTTCAAAATACTCTTCATGAGTAAAAAGTAAACTGGGGCAATAGTAAAAAAAGAGAAAAACGCAGACGATCAAAAAAACCCACCTACCATTAATTCTAAGAGATAGAATTCACATTCTAGTATCTGCAAAGAAGTAAAATCACAGTTAAACAGCAGCATGTTTCAGACAGCAGAAAGAATCAACTGGCATCCAGTTTCACACCATGAATGTGCAGGAATTCTCAACACATATTTCCAAGAGTCCTAAATGCATTTCATCTGAAACTACAAAACCAAACAAAAATCAAACTATTATTAGCCATTGCCTTACCACCATTATAACTTAACTCCAGTCATAGTAACAATGCATTTAAACTTTCTGGATCAAGTTTACTATGCAAGACTACTTCACTGGCAGTACTTGTCTGATTTATTTCAACATCTGGCAGCAGCAAATTGTTCCCAGTGTATAAACTTAACAGCAATAGAGAAGTCCTTTTGTAGAATTAGAGCCTCTTCATCAGGCCACTAACGTGCCAAAGAGCCTTTCCAAGTCTTTTCAGATTTCATTTCACGTGAAATATTCTGTCCAATTGTAGCAATTAAATCAGCTCTCATTTTCCATAGAGATGGTGATGTATTAGCGATATCAAGGAAAAGACTGGACTGCTTTGGCTATAGGAAAGCAGTACTCCAAAATAGATTTCCATTTGCCTTTATCTGTAAAATAGCAGTGCAGTTTTATTGCAAGGTCTTCGATATTTTATATTCTGGTATATCATTTGGCTTTCTAGATTAGGTGAAAAGCAAACCAACAAAAATGCAGTATTTGTCACAGTCAATCTAAAAATAATTAGATCTAACTTTCAAAATACTACAGCACAGGTCAAAACTGGTTTCAAGAAACACCACAAAATGTCTCAGCATTGTGCCTGGGAAGGGCTTGAAAACCAGTGGTAAATCTAAATTTTAAATAATAAATAAAAATTGTTTTTCAAAAGCCATTACATTTTACAGGCAAAAACTGCTGTCTCTAAGCCAACTGATCCTGTGTGCAAGCTTGGAAGCACCCCAGGTGCAAGGGCTATTCACCTTCCCTGGAGCAATCTATCTGTAAACAAAAGCATTCAAAAAAAGCTAAATCTCTTTTATCATCACAATGTATAAAAACTACTATTTCAGTCACCCAGTCACGTCACTTCTCTTTACAGCATTCTAGCCAACAAATTCAGGAAAGCAGGTTATATAAGATTTATTACTTTAAAAAAAAATAACTTTCCCAATAATCTATTCAAAACTAATTATGAGCAGCCTGACATATGAGTATGAAAATATTTATTTCTTAGAATTTAAGAGACAGGATTGCCTGCTAACAATTATTTGTCTTTTAGTTTATTTGATCAAGTTGCATTTTGAAGAGCATACTTACATGGTTCATCCTATAAGGAAACTCCTTCGGAAAGGCATACGAAAACCTAGTTTTCACTACAGTAAAGAGAAATCAGTGTGTTAAAAATTATGTAATTGACACTTGTAGTTTTTTCCCTTTCTATCAATTCATCTGTACATAGCCCTTGAAATCCATTTGGCAGCACAGCTGCTTGCAGCACAACAGGCTTGTTTCTGAAGGATGCGGATTTGCACAGGTACTCAGCCAGACACTTGTCTGCTGCTTCGGGCACTGTTAAATCTTCTGGTTAACCACCAACTAGCTTATGGGCACCTCACTTCACACAGGTTACCATTCACAGAGCTGTCTATCTACCAATGTCACTCCAAATCTGGTGACCTCTTCAGAATCTCAATTCCAACACTAAATCCAAATGGAATTTTCGCATGGCATTTTTCACATAGACTTGATCCTTCAACATGCAAGATGTGAAATCACGTAATGAAGTCTTAGAAAAGCAACACCGAGGGCAAGGTAAGGGAGCTCAGCCAAGAGATCTTGTACGTCCATGATGAATTTGAGCCTGGTTTTTGCGTATCCAAAATCCAAACACGAAGTCAATTCGCCACACTGCAGATCAATGTCCTAGGCACTGGTGTGAACACTTCAAGGGTGTTTCTCTTCTTGAGAGAGACACCTAAGCATCTGCTTAGGCGTATGATATGATTCAAGACACTTGCCTCCAATAGAATATTCAAATATATCCTCAGTTTCTAGCTTATGATGATCCCTGATTTAGATACCTAACTATCCTCAACATTTTACAAGGACAACAGGTACAAATAGTGCACTGTTAAGAACTATGTGAAGTTGCAAGAACAGTCATCTCATATGAGAACATTAAGCAAAGAAAAACTTAAGGACACTTGAGGATGTGGATTTGAGATTTCTACAAGTGAAACATTTAAAAATCTATTTTAAGTCTCTGTCCTCCAAGGGAAAACAGGCAACTTTTAGCATCCTGGAAGTGGACAATATTCCTTATATTAACGACAGACAGCATATTACAAATTGATACTACTTCCACAACATCAGTACACCATTCACTTTGATGAAAAGGTAGCATCAGTCCTCTGGACTAAAGACTTCAACATTTAGACCTATGGTGGACTTTGCCAGAAAATTTGCTGCAGGACAATAAGACTAGTCTACTGGTTGGAAATTTTAATTATTTGAACAAAAAGAAGAACTAATAAAAAGGTAAGCATGCAAACTGAAGAGATACATAGAAAAAAACCAAACCACTCTAAGGGGGAAACAGGGGAACAAAACATTTTTCCCACAAAGCAAGCTACAGACAAAACCATGTGGAGCTGTCCTTTTAGTGAGCTGTGGAAACAGAGTGAAAAGCTATGGAAGAGGTTGCCAGAAATCAGTCTGAGATTATCTTCCTTACAAAGGAAGCATGTGTTACTATCTTCTTGCTTCTACCTAACTAAAAGCAAACGCAGCTTTTCCACCGACCACTATCATGTTAGTCAGCCCTGTTAGCTTTCTTCTACTTGTCTCGCCTCATCTTTTTTTGCCTTTTGTATGAAGGCCTCCAAAAAAACTGCTGTGTGCTACCCAAGCAACTCTGGCAAAGGAAGACCAGGCAGAATAAAAGACATAAGCCTGAGGAGAAAGCCTGTTGCTTTTTGTCCCCACTTCCATGAAATGCAGAGTACTTATCACAGAATGGTAGGGGTTGAAAGGGACCTCTGTGGGTCATCTAGTCCAACCCCCCTGCTGAAGCAGGGTCACCTACAGCAGGCTGCACAGGACCTTGTCCAGGCGGGTCTTGAATATCTCCAGAGAAGATCGGGGAAGGCAGGCCTTCTAGGTCTGAAGGAAGAACTGCGGGTGAAATCTTCTGCAGGATTCTGAGACTTGGGATTTTCAGAAACAGCACAGCTCAGGACTAGAAGTCCAAGTGAAATCAACTACGCATATTTACCAAAATCCACCTAACCATCTCACTGATGCATGAAAACTGCCACATAGATATATGCTTTGAGACGCCGCTGATGTAAAAATAGCAACTGCTCTTGCTAAATCCTGTACTGGTCTTGGTCATGCTGGCACTGAAGACGCGTTTCAGTGGAACTGTCACACGGCCAGCCCCACGGACTGATACACTTACTGCACGCGGAGGCTGCCGACACAGCCAGTCCCTGTCCCCTCAATGGCTAGGAGGGATTTTGAAATCGCTGACCTACACTTTGAAGAGCACAGCCAGGAACTGCCTATTGAGAGCAGCTGGACTTTCTGGGTCAAATTACAGCATTCAGTTAAGGAAGCCATCACTTTAAGACCTTCATGGATGAGATGCAAGTTACAGCAACTGGGAAACATAAGGCAAGGGGGAAAGACAGAGAATTAAGTAACTATGGTGTGATTTTATTGCATTTATTTGTGAACAACATATAGGTTCTAAAATGCATTTTTAGAAATAAATACCATGTGCAAAGACTAATTTTATGATGGGGGGAAAAAAGGATTCAAAAATATTAGAAGGTATACAGCTTACCAAAAATTCTGAAAACAGGTACTTCCATGGACTCATACGTTTTATAAAACAGACAAATAAAGCCCTAAGTTTCCAATTCTATCTTTGAGTAGTTCAGAATTCAATTTATTACTTGAGACTATTTATAAATCTCAATAGTTTAATTTTATTACTTTGGTTTTATTTACACTTGTAAGTTCCATCCACAATCAACCAAAACTAATACAGAAAGGACTCTTCTGTTTCTGCATTTAGAAACAGAAGTTATTTATTCTAAATGGCTTTAACTGGCTCCTAGCAGTCAACATGTAAGCCCCCTCATGACTTGATAAAAAGCTATCTTTTTTAAAAACAAGCAAAGAAAGAAAACGTCTGATCTCCCTGAGGAGATACCCAACTACAGTACAACAAAAATCACCAATACTTACATACAGAAGTAGCAGCAGAAATCAACCTTGTATTTGAAACAACACCAAACTCCTGCAGAAAAAGAATGGTAAATGAGGTGAACCACCTGAAAGGCCATATGCTCACGTTGTTATCAAATTGAAGTAATGGCCTCTTACTAAACTGGGCTTCTTTATGCAGTATTTCTTTCCCCCCCACCACCCCTTTATCTTTTTTTCTTTTTTCTTAAGGTGAACAGGGTAAACTCTTAGGTAAAGAGTTTTTTTTTTCAATTGGTTACTTTGTTGTTTGAGTTGTGAGGAACAGTAAACATTTATGAAAGGTACTAAAGCCACAAAAGCTCCACTGGCTAACAGTCTACAGATGAAATAGACAACAGGGCTTCATCAAGCTACCTTGTTTTTCCTTAACCCACTCGGAGAGAAAACTGCCTTCTGAAACCTGCCATTAACTACTTTTTTTAATTACGTTTCCACGAAGCCTTAGCTCCTCTGCTGTGACAGTCAGCAAGCTGAAAGTTTTCTGTATACAGTGTTATTTCGAAGAAGTGTGTAGCTGAACCATTACTGCTACAGCTGTCCTCTAGAGCTGCAGAAGCTTTAGTGTAAGGAAGGCTGCACGGACTTCTTGTATTTATTCTAAAAGACAAGGTATATCTGTACATATACAATCTATGTCTGTACTTTCTTAAAGGCTTAATTAACAGGCTGACAAAAAAAAATACTCTCTCCAATACTTTGCGTCTTTCTCCTTTCCTTCATCTCTTCCACGCACTGGAAGGTATCACAGGATTTGTACAGACAACAGTATCGCATGTCGACACTGGTTTAGCAGGACTGCTTCTGCCACTCACTACGCATTTTAGTTCCTCCTGTAAAATTCATCAGTGCTGACATACCACAAATTGTCCAGCTTGATTTTTTGCCATTATGCAGACACTTCTCAAGCAGTTGAAAAGCTTCTTGCATTACAGAGGACTAAAAGCAGCAGCCAACTGATGCTGACTCTTAGCCACCTTCAAAGTGGACTGCTAACAGTGCAGGCACGGAGCCTTCTCACCACTGTCCTTAGTGGGTCAGTTCCTTATGATAATTTCTCAAAGACAGCGTATGAGCTACAACATACTTTTAATTCAAGTAATGAAAGTGTGGTAAACTCTGAGGATCCCCCACTACATGAAAGGGAAAAGGATAACTAGGAAAAAATTTCAAATTATGTTTGAAAGTTTGAGTAAACATAAATAAGGAGAAACACACCAGAAAGGAGACATTACACCATTTAAGATATACTGTATGTCGATATGTAAACACTGTATCACAGTGAAACAGTCATTTAAAGTACTCTCTCCAATTTCCAGAGGCCATTCAGGGTTAGTAATTCAGACAAAACTGTGAAAGATCAAATACTAAATAACACATTTGAAGGCCTTCTCCGTCTCCTTTTCTTAAATTGCTATAGAAATCCATACAAAAAGAGAAGGTTTCAACCCACAAAGCATGAAGAATGACAAAAAAATTTAAAAGTCCTAAACTTTTTTTCTCTTTCATACATCACAAAATTTTACATTAAAAAATTGTAATACTTCATACCTCTACTTTGGATGCCAAAAACACACACGTAGGAGCCATTAATACTGGATCTATACTTTTTAGCGAATATCTGAAATGTTATAACAAAATTATAATGTGTTGTTTCATACACGTAGAACGATTAATCCATTAAGAGCACCACACTTCCTTTTGAAAAAGCAAAGCTTAAGTTAACTGTACTAGCATAAAAGCTTTATACCATCCAGAAAACAAAAGTGGCACTGTTTTTAACACAGAACTGCATTTTAAAAGGGCCACCAAAACGTGCCTAGGAAATGATTTATTCTTGTACCATCATAGTAAACAGTCCTACCTGGCATAGAATCTCTTGAAGTAGACTGTAGCAGTGGCAATAACTTGTTGTCTTAATTTAAGATGTTCACCTAAAGCCTGGATAACTTAAAAAAAAAAACACGAACAAAAGCTTGAGTTGAGTTTTTACAACAATTTGACACCAAACAGCAAAAGATCTCAAAATACGACTAGTGCTGGGGACTGCAAGGAGCAGCAGCGCAGTCTTCTCCCTCAGTTCAAATACGTCCCTGCGGTGAGACAACATGTTGCTGTAAACCTACAAACCTGCAGGTGAAGAAGCAGCACTGCATCCTGAAGCTTGTGGACACCTTTTAAAAGGGAAAGGTAATTTGACTTCGCCATGTATGAAGTGAGTGTGACCTTTAAGAAGATGACAACACAAATCTCAGAATGGTGGAGCTTGGGTATTCCATTTGAGAGCAAGACAAATTCAAAGACTTGTATTTTAAGTCTACCGCTTTTCAGAGCCATGCAGAATGGATGGGGTTTTTTTTTTTCAAACAACTAAAGCTGCCAACACAAAGATGGTCATCAAATTTGGCAGAGGCAGCAGGTATTAAAAAAATGACATACTTAGTCTAGGGAGAGGGGGTGGGCGACCAGAGGATGCAGTCAGCTGCTCCGTCACGGTGGTCCTCTGCCAGTTGGCCAAGAAACAACCCTGGTGTCATCTGTGCAGGTAGCTCTTGTTTGGCCTCCCAGGCAAAGGAAAGGTGCCAAGCAAATTAGAAGCATCAAGCCAGGATTAAGAGCAGGGGTTGGATACAGAGAATGCCAGAACAAAACATAAGGTTGTTACTCGTTATTTTTCCCATACTTCTTCGCAGCCGTTATTCTGAGCAAGGCAAGGCTCTTCTTTTTTTCCTCCCTCACCAGAAATGTCCAAAACAATAATTTAAAATACACCTAAGTATAGATTTAAAATATGTACAGCAACCTCAAGACAGTGACCACGGATGGGAAACGCAAACAACTCTGTTATCAATCATCGCTGAATTCTTAGTCTCTACTCAAGCACACAAGCCCATTTTTTTTTTTTTTTTTTCCCGTGCTCTCACCCTGCATCCCTGGGAACAGTCAGGGTACAACCTACACTCACTCTTAATGAACATCACAGTATTTTAAAACATGCAAATATCAATGACGTTGTTGGCTAGGAAAGGGCTGAATGTAGGCAAAAAGGAGAAAACCACCCTGAACAGCACTGATGATTGGCAACATTTTTTCCTCCCCCCCCAGGAAAGGGTAACTACTTTGTCGCCCACTATGATGACCCAAAGCAACACTGAGTCCCTGTCCGTGTCACATCCCTCTTTTCCTAAAAAGAAGAATGCCAAACTGAGACTAGCTTGCCAGTGACACTAGGACAAGCGATGCTGCCAGAAAGGAGGTTACGCCTGGTATGCAATGTCTGTACAAATATTAAAATATTTATCAGCATATCTTGGGAGGTCTGAAAGGATTTTTCCCTTTGATTTGACCATGGGGCTACAAAGCTGTCTTCCTACTAGGGCATCAGAAAAAAACAAATATTAAGCTAAACAGAATTCTCCAAATATGTTTCTCTCTCCCATGGGATTTTCAGGAACAGTTAGGCCATCTGCTGTCAAGAGAAAAATCAAGTGTGGTTTAGGGAAAAAAATGGACTGGAGCCTAGAGAGACTTAATGAAATGGAAGCTTGTACATGCTGGGAAGAAGTCCAACACTTGTAATTAATTTTTTTAATATTTTAAAATAAACTATTGAATTATTTATTCCCTTACGTTTACAAAATGAGTGTTTTCAGTGGGTTTTTTTAAAAGAAAAATAGTTTTAAATCCGAATACCCTGAGTAGCCTGTAACACAAACATTACAGCTTCTGCCCTAAACCAGAAAGGGAAATCAACTAATGCGCTTTTCAACCAAAAACTCTATTAAGACTTGGTGATCCACAGAGAGAAAGCAACACCAATTTCCTTTTTTGAACTACTTTAGAAGACTATCGTTTTCCTTCTCTACACTATTAACATTCCGGGTAGTGATGCATGGCTGTACAATCACTCAGTGATCTATTGCACTTGTTTTCCAACGAGGAGGCAGCAGGAAACTGCCTCTCTCCAGGCAATTTTTCGGTTGCTTCAGCGAACAGCCATCTCCCGGGCAGACACATGCCGAACGAGACAAGCCGTGGCCGAGAGTCGTATCCCTACCCAGGTCACGCAGGAGGCAGGAGAGAGGAGGGGGAGGCCCCATAAACCCAAAGCAGGGTGCCTGTTCAGAGGCAGGTGATGATACAGCACACATCAAGGGCTTGAACACGGCAAGCTCTGCCCGAGCTCCCACCAGCACAGAGCAGCCCCTGACTGTCCTCCCCGCGAAGGCACCTCTCTCTGCTACAGAAAGGGTGGAAGCCCAGCCCCAGCCCCACGCTCTCCTCCAGGACAGGCCGTGCTCGTACGCGCACAAGGGAGATGCTGGCAGAGACATCCTCTGGCTGCCGCAGGTCACACACTGCACCTTCAGGGGAGGCAAGCAGTGCCAAGGACAAGAAGCCCAAGAACCACAAACGGAAACCACCTCGCCTACTTTGTAAATCTGTGTTTACTCAAGAAAAACACTGAAGTGAAACATTTTTGAAAGAGTATTTCATAATTCAAATTAATGCTAGTGAAAGACAGCACAGAAACACAGTCTTAGAAATACCAGTACCCCGTTTCCTCCTTTGGCATAATGAAGCTACGACACTTTGGTTTAACCTCAAGGAATTTCAGGAATTGATCGAACAGGTAAATCACTGCTAGCTTGATTTCCCGGTGCCATAGAAGTGATAACACAGATGTATCCACAGCAATCTGCAGCACACACAATTCTTATAAAAATAGCTAAGAGAGAAGCTGGGATAAGTATCTTTCACAGATACCGTTCCAGCAGTGATATAAGATCTTCCAGTGGCCTTGGGAAAGTCGCTTAACTTCTCTGTCTCATGTCTGGCCAGATAGCTGCAAAAACAAACATTCTGTACTTTAGAGGACTGCTGTGCAAAACCTTTAAAGAGCTGCCCACCAACAAATTACTACTTAGCAACATCCTTTGCCTAGGGAGATTTTTTTTAAATGCTGAACAATTGCACAGAAAAGAGTTTTAAGTGTCTGCGTAATCTGATCTGCTCCAGCGTGGTCATTCATACGGTTAAATGCTTTGCAGGATCAAGTAAGTCTTAGGTAACTTCACACACAAGTCCCAGACTCTTTGGGAGAACAGGCTGCCTGCCAACAGCTCTCAGAAACTTGGAGACAGTTTGAGAGCCACCCGCTGCCGGGCAACCAGCCACAAGGCAGGACGCGGGCTGTGGTGCAGGTTTCAACGAACGTAACTGAACACAAATGACAAGCTTCCAAGTTTTGCTGGTTAATAGGACTGCGCAGCTCAGCTAGAAATGCCTACCACTGCCTAACAGCCCACCAAAAGCCCCGTTTAAGTATTAACGCTTGACACTGGGCCTTTCGTATGCTAGCTCAGCAGTTTCTGCTTGCTGCTCCTCCTTTTACGTTTTTGGCAAGAATCTCTCAAAAATAAGAAAATGTACTGTGGTTTGTCCCATCACAGGTTAAAAGGTTATATATGCAGCTAATTTGCTTGTTAGATGTCCTAAGATTGTGTTAATACAGCTAGTGAATGCCAATGTTACTGATCTTCCAGTTCTTTGTGAAAATGGGTTGTGGCAGTATACGTAGTATCACAACGAACACATTACATTCTCTAAGCAACTCCTACTTGTGTTTAGGCACGGCACTCTACCGACTTTACGGCAGCAATAAAAATAAAACGGCTTTACCATTAGTAAAAAATATCTGTAGCTTCCAATATTCCTCTTCAGTCAGAAATTTCAAGTCTTTCTGGCGCTCCTTCAGCAGATCTTGTTTATCCAAAATCCATTGCAAACTACAGGAAGGGAAAATCATCTCAGCAACTCTTTGCCAGCATCGCACCCAGCGTCTCCCGCACAGCCGGGCCGTGGACTGAGGCTCGGGACTAAGGGGCGCTGGACCTCTAGCCAAGCCCCACACAACCTTCCCAAGCAAACGCTCCCCGGGCTTTTCAAAGTTCAGATATCTGAAAAAAAAACCCCAACAACCCAGCTGCTCGCAGGGACTG